TTTCTGCTTCCAGCAACTCTTCATTTCCTACTTTCTTCTCAGACAGGTTTGAATCCACCTCAGCACCAGTCGATTCAGAATGCATGTTCTCTGTGTCTATTCCTTCTACCCCGTCTGAGGACAAGCCTTCATTGGTGATCTTTGCTTCAGCTTTATTGATTTCACCATCACAAGACTCATTGGTATCGACCTGCATATTTTCCTCTGTCGACCCACTATCACACGCTAGTTGTTCAGTGGCTCTCTGTGATATCATTTCACATTTCCCATCATTCATTGCATCTGTATTGGCCCCTGCTGTAATACTCTCACCCACTGCATCAGAATCTTTTGGCTGGTTCATGATGATAACAGAACTATCTGCATCTTCTTTTTCAGAACTGTGTTCAGCCTGTTGGACCGAAGACTCTTCAAGATGATTATTCATTGTAGTATTAGTTGCATCTTGGGGTACATCTTCAAAAGTAACTACCTCATTCTCACTGGATGAAGTTGTTCTCTGATGTCTGATTGTCTTGGCTTCATCACCAGTGTCGCATTCATGTTCATCATCTTGATGTCTGGCTTCATCATCGTCCACACAAACTGATGAATTTGTCTTTCTAGACTGATCTTCAGCATAGTCTTCCCCTCCTGAAAACTGATTCTCACTTTGAATGGGTTTGCTTGGCTGGTTGACACTGTTTATTATTTCATCTCGGTCTTGAAAAATATTTCCATCAATGTTGCTCCCCTCTCCATCCATAATAGAGTACCTATCTCTACCACCACCTTCATCTGCACAACTCTGTGCACCGAAATCTGCACAACTCTGTGCACCGAAATCTACGACATGCGCTGTATCTGCTGTAGTTTTAACAACAGACAAATGTTCCTGCTGCAGGCCACTAACATTAGGAGAACTCAGACTCATATGCGGATAATGAACTTGAATCGGACATTATCACAGCACCATCTGGTGTTACTTTCTGACCGACGAGCGCCGCTGCGCGTATAATATCATCAACAGTAATCTGATCACAGGAGAGATCGTTGACCGTTCCACTAACATCAGAACTCTCTGTGAATTCACATTCAGCACTCAGTCTCTCAGCTGGTGAGAACGCTTTCTCAGGAATGACATCATTCCCTTCACCATGATGGGATTCATCCATTGTCTGGGTCTATCTGTACACTCTGTAATTTAAAAATAAATTTATATTATAAATCTGTGTGCTCTCTGGATTTTTTTCAGGGTAATAGTATAATTAAAAAAAACAGCAAACATTTCCGAAAGCGCCCAGGATCTGAACATAGAAAATTATCAAAAAATAGGGGTGGGTATGTACCTCTGCAAAAAAACGAGAAGGGAATAGAATGGCGAATGAAAACATGCAGTGGAAATAAATGAACAATATGCAACATTAGAAATATAACAAAAATAATTTATTGCTTATAATGTGACAAATAAACCAAAAATAATAAAAATCAGCAGTTAGCGTGAACTCAAATTGAACTAAAATGTCAGGGGTTAAACTGTGTAAAAATTATTTCCGGTTTTGATAAATACCAGATCAACAGACATACACGAACAATATCAGTAATATTATAATTTAAGATTGACACAGAAAAAATTACAAAAGTTCCTAGTTGTTGAAGAAATTTCTCAGATCTCTATTTGCACGTTCATTGCTATATTCGTAAAAGTCAAAACCCTCAAAGTCCAAGTCGGCATCACTGTAGTTATCAAAAAAAATCCCTACAGCTTCGTCCTGAAGTTCATTGATATCGCCGCACACAATTTGAATTTAGCACTTTTTATCCATGGATTCCGCTGTGTGTCAGCTTGGGATGTCTAATCACAATAAAGAGACAAGAAAAATTGGGTCGTGTGCAAACGACTCTGCTCTATCATCTTTGACCTTTATTTTTCAAGAATTTTTATCAGAATTTGTATTTTTTTGTATTTATTTACACCAGATAATATAAATGAATCACACCAGACTGCAAGAAAATCAACTGTTAACTTAATACAACGAACAAAAAATAGATTGTTATTTTTTTATTACAAGTGTAGGAAAATACCCCTGGGCATATGCCCTGACATGACCTCAATTTCTTTATTGTATCAATATTGGGATGGTCTTTTGCCAGGGCATGGGTACCTTCCCGGACAACTACGGTACATAAAAAAATCATAATATAATTTTACTCATTCATTTAGGAGATACTAATATTAATTGAAAAAAATCTCATTCCACCAATGAGAGGAAAAGCATACTAAATATGCATAAAAATGAACATGTTGTAATAAATAGTTGATTACACAGCTAATCCTGTAGTTTTACATGTAAAATGTGAAAACTGGAAGGCATTACCTAGTCCTATGTACTCACTGTAAAAATACAAGTACCGGTACTGAATTACAGTCACTTTAATTTTTATTTAAATTTTTGTTAATCAGGGGAAATCATAACATTTTGTAGCTGTCCACATTACTCTGAAGTCCTATGACACAGTGTTGGTAAATTTTGTGAATGCCAAAAAGATTTACATTGTTGTATACTACACAGTACAGTGAGGGTATACCCGGTAACTTCTATTGCATACTGAAATTAAATACCAAAATTGCCTTGGGTATTTCTCTGTAGATAACCCCCCCCCCCCAAAGTTTTCTGCGCAGATTGTTTTTGCTTACAAAATACTCCTCCAAGATTGTAATGGTCAAACCCTTTATAAATATTCCTTCGCCCTTCTGAGCCCCCCCTCCCCCTCCCAAAGGTTTTATAATGCACACCAGATGGAAACTTGTTTTTCACCAACTTTTGTTGGTAGAATAAAGAAATCTTTATTGTCTAACCTGAGGACATTTCTATTATTGAGAAAGTTAAGATAATCTACATCAACGCCTATATATGCCCCAGGACACCTATAAGTAAGAGTTTTTTAAGGCCCCCTTACCCATAACTCTAATTCTAACCTTGCCCCTCCAGTGCCCCTCCCCAAATTTAATTGTATATACTTCTCTGCAGGATATGCATAGTTATTTGGAGAGGTATATACAATTACATTAGGGTCTGGAGTGGTAGGGTTAGGGTTAGGGGTATAAAGGGGTATAAAGGAAACTTTTCCCCCCAGAGTTCATTATCAACATGTGGACCGTTTTAAGGTAGAGATGCAGGTTCGTGGGCAATTTGAAATTTGTTTTTTTTTTGCTTTTTATTATCCAAAAAGTCTTCGCTATAGACTGTTGAAATTTTGTAGAATTGTGAATAGTGGAACATACTCAAAAAACAATTTTAAAATATAGATAACAGGTGCAAAATTATCTCTTTTGAATGCTTAGCAAGATTTAGCAAGGCTGTACCATAAATAATTAAAAAAAAACATGGTGAAAAAAAGAAATGACAGGATCTCAGATATTAGGCACTGTATTTGCATTAGCAAACTTCTTACTGAGTGAATGGTTATGCAAATTAGCAATTATCTCAGCTTTATTTTAGTGCACATTCCAGAACTTCAAAAAAAATAGCTCCTAGATGCTTTGACCTTTTGTTTTGAAATTTTCACAAATGATTGACAATGTGTTTATCTTCAAACCGCAGTGGGGCATTGTTTTTAGTTGAATAGGTGCATGGAGGTAGAAAAAGAGAAGGAGTGAGGACGCTATTGTTTCCGCTGGTTTCATGATGCTTTGGATTTGTTTGCTCAGTACACATAGTAATTAGTTTGCAAACACGCTGTACAATGTCACAGTTAATCGGCTTACGTGTTTCGGCTGTATTCGGAAGCTTCACGAAGATTCTCAACGCACTGCGCATGCCCAAACAAATAACAATAATACAAAATGCAGCGAAAAACGTACGCTGAGTGTACTCAACGCCCGAAATCTATTACAACAAAAGGCGCGA